ACAGCTGCCTCCAGTTCAACTAATAAACTGTAGGACTTGCTACTGATTGGAGGAGAGCAGCGTACTCGGCATGTGGGCAGCCGAGTTGGGATTGGCGGAGGAGGACTATAAAGGAGGAGAGAGACGGCATGCACCGGGAACATCTATGGGGAACATCTAAGGGAACCCGTGCAGCCCCCGAGAGAGCCGGCCGGCGGTGTGCCGCTCCCCTGCGGAAGTGGGGAATGTGGCCAGGGGGAACTGCCCTTCCACGGAGGTGGAAGGGATAGTAGCCAACCCGGGAAGAACCAGCAGCAAACCCGGGGAGGGCCGAGCAGACGAAAGAACAGCGCAGGGTCCTGTGTCGTTCCTCCACGAAGAGGGGGAGCGACACTCCCTGTTCATTTTTTAAAAATCAATATGCAATGTTAAACACTTTTTAAATGTAACAAGCATTTGTATTGGTTAGGAATTCAGAATTCTGCTGTTTCACTGGGCTCAAGTATATCTTTTTCTCTAAAATTAAATTTTATTATTATAAGAAATGATAAGGGCCAGCACTGTGGCTCACTTGCTTAATCTTCCGCCTGTGGTGCCGGCATCCCACATGGGCACTGAGTTCTAGTCCCAGTTGCTTCTCTTCCAGTCCAGCTCTCTGCTGTGGCCCGGGAGGGCAGTGGAGGATGGCTCAAATGCTTGGGCCCCTGCACCTGCATGGGAGACCAGGAAGAAGCACCTGGCTCCTGGCTTCAGATTGGCGCAGCGCCAGCTGTGGTGGCCACTTGGGGAGAGAACCAACGGAAGGAAGACCTTTCTCTGTGTCTTTCTCTCTCACTGTCTATAATTCTACCTGTCAAATAAAAAAAAAAAAAGAAATGATAAGTCAGGATGACATCATTCCCAATTTTATGCAGACATGATGAGTACTGGCATACCTGTATACTCAGTGCAAATATGGTAGCATTTATACCTCAGAGGGGCCAAGTATTAATGTTAAGGCTCTCCATAAGAGCTGCTAGTTTTACTAATAGATGTTTTGTGAATTGGAAATTATTTTATGGAATTGCTACAAAGGAATGCTTTTCTTCTCAGCTGTGGGAAGAATTTATGTGAACTTTAAGGTAAGTGTGTAAAAACAGACATCTGAGTTAAGATTTTTATCATGTTTATTTAGTTGAAATAGAGTGGTTGCATGGGAGGAAATGTTATTGAAATTCTCTTTTTTGAATGCTGTTTCTATTTACGAATACAGTTTCTGATCTTTTATCAACCATTGTGCTTAACCATGGACAAAATGGACATAGATGGAACTACTACTGATAAGGAAAAGTTTTATGTTTGCATGTATACACCAGAAAGCCTTCCTCTGCTTCCTTCTTTTAACTTACTTTTACAACTTAGACTATAGTTTAATAACACTCAGAAATCCTTAACTCACTGGGAAAACAATTGCTTTAGCATACATTTGAGTGTCCCCTCCCCAGCAAGGCGTTACATGATTAACAAGTCACTTGCTAGTCTTGCAGATAATTCATACATTATTGATTTAACACTTAGACAATGGCAAGGGTAGTTCTTATTCTATAAGTTTATATCATATGTAATTTAAAAATATTTAAGACAAATTTCCTGTGTACTTCTCAATTATTTTTTATTTTGATTTCATCATGACAGATCTACTATTTCTTCATAGAAGGTACACGTTGTATGAATTAATGCAAAGCAGGCAAATTCAGCTGTAAAGGATCTTTGGTACAAACCTGACTAAAAAATCCCCACTAACTGGGCATAGCCAAATTCTAGTGGTCATTTGTACCTCACAACTATCAGTACTTTTCCAGGAGCTGGTTAGGGACATGTTCAAGTTGGTCTGACAGTATTTTGTTAGGGATATTTGTTTGTGTGTTTACTCAGTATATTTACATAAAAATTACTTTGCTTTATGGCAAAACTGAATAATCATGACAGCTATCTTTTGTTTTATATGGTTTATTTCTTAAGAAATGGCAAGGGGCCGGCGCCATGGCTCACTAGGTTAATCCTCTGCTTGCGGCGCCAGCATCCCATAGGGGCACTGGGTTCTAGTCCCGGTTGCTCCTCTTCCAGTCCAGCTCTCCGCTGAGGCCCAGGAGGGCAGCGGAGGATGGCCCAAGTGCTTGGGCCCCTGCACCTGCATGGGAGACCAGGAAGAAGCACCTAGCTCCTGGCTTTGCATCGGCGCAGTTTTGGCCATTGCGGCCATTTGGGGAGTGAACCATCGGATAGAAGACCTTTCTCTCTGTCTCTCTCTCTCTCACTGTCTGTAACTCTACCTGTCAAATAAATAAATAATAATAAAAAAGAAATGGCAATAAATTTTGGGTTTGTTCAGCTTTTTACTAAAGATACCTAAAGCCACAGGATTTTTTTTTTTTTTTTTGCCTAACCCAAGTTGTCAGACTGAGCTATGAGACAGGAAGCAATATAAAATATCTGCATGTGGCTATACCATTTACACATGAGTCTCAAAATGGCTTAGTGTTACAATGTTTTAGACTTAAAGAGGAAGGTACATGCACACGTCAATTAGACAGTTGATGAGATAGCTGGGAACTCTGTGCCTGTGAATGACTATTTTCTGCAGGTTCCAAATTCTCTGGTAGTTCTATTTGCTGTTCCTCTAGGATGTCAATGCAGTGCACTGGTACTGTTCTATTGTCAAGGCCACAGACTCTTTTTGTAGTGGCTGCATATTCTTCCTGTACACTCACTGCACTGGCAGCATTCTGTGTCTGATCTGGTACACTAGCTTTACATTGCTGTCTGTGATTTCTAGGCTGGTTACTTGAAGCATGAATTTTCTGTCATTCTTCCATGGAAAAATTTTTGATGAACTAATACCATTCTTAACTAGCAAAAAAAGAGATCCTACTTATTACATTCACAATGGTAAAAATAATAGTAATACCTAATTTTGAAGAGGATAAGGAACAAATGGCAAGTTTATGTACCTGTATGTGTATATATATATATATATATATATGTGTATACATATGTGTGTGTGTATATATATATAAAACAAATGTGGAAATGTTTACTTTTACAACTTCTGTAGTGCCATTCAAGGCCAGATATAACCTTCGAGATTAGAACTGGTGTTAAGACTCTTGTCACACAAATTACCAAAAAGCATATGGTTGTCCTGGTGCTATATATTTAAACTGTCTTAATAAAAGAGCAACCTCTTACTTTTTTAGGATGGTACAAAGGTACCTTTAAAAAATATCTGTTGGGGCCGGCGCCGCGGCTCACTAGGCTAATCCTCCACCTTGCGGAGCCGGCACACCGGGGTCTAGTCCCGGTCGGGGCGCCGGTTTCTGTCCCGGTTGCCCCTCTTCCAGGCCAGCTCTCTGCTGTGGCCAGGGAGTGCAGTGGAGGATGGCCCAAGTACTTGGGCCCTGCACCCCATGGGAGACCAAGATAAGTACCTGGCTCCTGCCATCGGATCAGCGCAGTGCGCTGGCTGCAGCATGCTGGCTGCGGCGGCCATTGGAGGGTGAACCAACGGCAAAGGAAGACCTTTCTCTCTGTCTCTCTCTCTCACTGTCCACTCTGCCTGTGAAAAAATAAAAAATTAAAAAAAAAATCTGTTGGAGTAGATATTTGATGCAGTAGTTAAGATGCCACTTGAGATGACTATATTTCATGTTGAAATGTGTGGATTTAAGTCCTAGCTCTGCTCCCGATTCCAACTTCCTGCTAACACTCACCCTGGGAGGCAGCAGTGATAGCTCAAGTCACTGGATCCCTGTCATCCATGGGGGAAACCTGCATTGTGTTCCCGGGTCCTGGCTATAGCATGGCCCAACCCTGGTTGTTACAAGCATTTAGGGGAATGAATCAGTGGATGGGAGATCTCTGTCTGTCTCTCAGCTTTTCAAATAAATTTTTAAAATTAATTAAAAATACATATTAAACAGTAGTAATTTTAATACCTATTAAAATTAAATAAACAGCACAGAGCTGGCCTGGAAGAGGGGCAACCGGGACAGAATCCGTCACCCCGACCGGGACTAGAACCCAGTGTGCTGGTGCCGCAAGGCGGAGGATTAGCCTAGTGAGCCGTGGCGCCGGCCTCAACTTTTATTTAATAAATATAAATTTCCAAAGTACAACTTTTGAATTATAGCGGCTTCCCCTCACCCATAACCTCCCTCCCACCCGCAACCATCCTATCTGCCACTCCCTCTCCCATCCCATTCTTCATCAAGATTCATTTTTAATTATATATGGAAGATCAACTTAGTATATACTAAGTAAAGATTTCAAAGACAGCACCTACTCAGACACACAAAGTATAGAGTACTTTTTGAGTAGTAGATTTACCGTTAATTTGCACAGTACAACACATTAATGACAGAGGTCCTACATGGAGAGTAGGTGCACAGTGACTCCTATTGTTGATTTAACAGTTGACACTCTTATTTATGGCGTCAGTAATCACCCGAGGCTCTTGACATGAGCTACCAAGGCTATGGAAGCCTCTTGAGTTCACAAACTCCAATCTTATTTAGACAAGGCCATATTCAAAGTGGAAGTTCTCTCCTCCCTTCAGAGAAAGGTACCTCCTTCTTTGTTGGCCCATTCTTTCCACTGGGATCTCACTCACAGAGATATTTCATTTAGGTCATTTTTTGCCACAGTGTCTTGGCTTTCCATGCCTGTGAAACTCTCATGGGCTTTTTAGCCAGATCTGAATGCCTTAAGGGCTGATTCAGAGGCCAGAGTGCTGTGTAGGGTATTTGCCATTCTATGAGTCTGCTGGAAACACATGTTTTTAAAAATGAATAATTTCTGTTAAGCATTAGTTTCTTGATCCATTTAAGTTGATTCTCTATTCTAGAATGACTTTCCATGAAAAATAAAAGGATGTTAAATTGGAAAGTCTTGGTAGTAAATTAAGAAGGAAAGCCAGAAACCTTGTTTAAAAAACTGACTAAAAAGGTCATGAATGATATGATGTAGTTGTATTTTCTGCATACCTGAGGAGAAGACTATGCTCAGGCATGTGTTGAATCCAGTGATGGCCAGGATGTCATCCAAGCTGCTTGCAGCTACTAGTAAGGTTGGGATGCCTTTCTCAACACCATATCCGTTTTCCTGCAGAAGCAGCATGGAAGGGACAACAATAGCAGGAGAGACAGCACCTAGCACAAAGCTGAAACAAAGACATGGAAAGCTAACTGGAAAACATCCTTTTACCAAAGAGCGTTTCACTATAAACTCTGAATATGTTAACCTTTATAACAATTCCAAGAGCAAAGATTGTGTTTTCACATGAATGCCATCTAATGGTGATAAAACTTCCCAGGCATCCTTTAGTGCTGGCTAAAATTTTATAAAGATGTGGTTCAGGATGCTAGACTGTACACAACAGCAAACTCTCTCCTTGCCCTTAAATCTTTTGATATGAAGCTATAAGGATAATAGGAAAAGCAGTAACTCAACTAGAGAACAAAAGCGGAAACCTCAATGGACTAAAAGCAAGTGGATCCCAGGAAGACAATTTAGGCTTAGTAAAAGAAACCACAAGCCAAACTATGTGTAGGTAAAGATCACTACAAAAAATATGGTATGCCCCTAAATGTGCTCCAGGTCCAGAATTGACATATGCTGAGAGCAGGGGAGATCTCCAGAGAAAGCAGAGACCACTGTCAGAATGGCTAGACAAACCTACCTTCCACACCACCAAATACTCTTGATTCATAAGGGATAGAGGTGTCTGCCCAAAACCAGGGAAAGTGAATATAATCACCATTGCTACAAAGGTAAAGGAGAAAATTCCTAGGAGTGGTTGATGATATGTATGAGGAATGGGAAAACTGCTGCTGCAAATGTCATATCCCATCCAGAACTTTGCCTCACCTCTTCCACATTCACTCTTTTATTTAAAATTTTAGTATTTTTATATTATCTTTATTAAAGACAGAGTGAGAGAGGATGAGAGATCTTCCACCCTCTGGCTAGCTCCCTAAATGGCCACAATAGCCAGGGCTGAGTCAGGATGAAGCCAGGAGCTTGAAACTCCACCCAAATCTCTCACATGGGTGGCAGGGACCCAAGTATTTTGGTTATCTTTCACTTCCTTCCCAGGCACATTAGTAGGGAGCTGGATCAGAAAGGGAGCAGCTAGGAGTAGAACTGTTGTTACAACATGGGATGCTGGCACTGTGAGTGGTAGTGTAACCTGCTGTACCACATTGCAAGCCTCCATAATTACTTCTTAGAGTTTGAAGTGTTTCCTGGGTCAAGATACTCTTGGTGACTCCACCACAATACACTGAGCAGTCCCGATCACACAACCTCCAGCTGCTGCTTCTTGGCAGCCAGCTATCAGCATCTGTAGGATTCTAAGAGTTTTGCCCTGCCAGCAAGAGCCCACCTGGGAACCTTGGGGAGGTTTCTCCCTCTTCCATTGCCTCAGACAACTCCTGTTAAGTGACTGAGTGATGATGAAAGTCAAAGTTCAGCTCCTTTGTGCCTGGCTGTACAACATCCATGGTACAGTTTATGTTCCTGACTTCCCTGTGGAATTGAAGAATGGAAGCTACAATTCTATGAAACCACATATCTTCCCCATTCAGTGGTGCCTGCACATTTTGCACACTGGAATTGCCTAGTGTCTTATGTATCTGTTTTTGTTATTATCTCCAAACATAATATCTTAAGAGAAAAATCATTTATCTCATGACTTCTGTGAGTCAGGAATCTGAGTATGCCTTAGTTGTATGCCTCTGACTCAGAACCTCTCATGGGTTGGGTAGAAGATCTGCATTCTCTTTATTCACACAGCTGTTGGCAGGCTTCAATCTTTGCCAGGGGGGCTTCTCCACAGGACTGCCCCAGGGCATGGCATCTAGCTTCCCAAAAGCCATCAAAGAGAAGGCAAGAGAGAACATATTTTTCTTTAAGATTTTGTAATTCTCATTATAGAGATCTTTAACATCCTATGTTAAGTTTATTCCAAGGTATTTGATTGTTTTTGTAGCTATTGTGAATGGGATTGATCTTAGCAGTATTTCTCAGCCGTGGCATTGCCTGTGTATACAAAGGCTGTTGATTTTTGTGTATTGATTTTATATCCTGCTACTTTGCCAAACTCTTCTATGAGTTCCAATAGTCTATTAGTAGAGTTCTTTGGATCCCATAAATAAAGAATCATATCGTTTGCAAAGAGGAATAGTTTGACTTCTTCCTTCCCAATTTGTATCCCTTTAATTTCTTTTTCTTGTCTGATGGCTCTGGATAAAACTTCCAGAACTATACTGAATAGCAGTGGTGAGAGTGGGCATCCCTGCCTGGTACCAGATCTCAGTGGAAATGCTTCCAACTTTTCCCCATTCAATAGGATGCTGGCTGTGGGTTTTTCATAAATTGCTTTGTACTGAGGAATGTTCCTTCTATACCCAATTTGCTTAGAGTTTTCATCATGTAAGGGTGTTGAATTTTATCAAATGCTTTCTCTGCATCTATTGAGATAATCATATGGTTTTTCTTTTGCAGTTTGTTAATGTGGTGTATCACGTTGATTGATTTGCGAACATTGAATCATCCCTGCATACCAGGGATAAATCCCACTTGGTCTGGGCAGATGATCTTTCTGATGTGTTGTTGCATTCTACAGCCAACTTATATTTGATCAAAGATACAAAACCAATCCATGGAGTAAGGACAGTCTATTCAATAAATGGTGCTGGGAAAATTGGATTTCCACGTGCAGAAGCATGAAGCAAGACCCCTACCTTACACCTTACACAAAAATCCACTCAACATGGATTAAAGACCTAAATCTACAACCCAACACCATCAAATTATTAGAGAACATTGGAGAAACCCTGCAAGATATAGGTACTGGCAAAGACTTCTTGGAAAAGACACCGGAAGCACAGGCAATCAAAGCCAAAGTTAACATTTGGGATTGCATCAAATTGAGAAGTTTCTGTACTTCAAAAGAAATAGTCAGAAAAGTGGTGCTCACTTCGGCAGCACATATACTAAAATTGGAACAATACAGAGAAACAGTCAGAAAAGTGAAGAGGCAACTGACAGAATGGGAAAAAATATTTGCAAACTATGCAACAGATAAAGGGTTAATAACCAGAATCTACAAAGAGATCAAGAAACTCCACAACATCAGAACAAACAACCCACTCAAGAGATGGGCCAAGGACCTCAACAGACATTTTTCAAAAGAGGAAATCCAAATGGCCAACAGACACATGAAAAAAAATGTTCAGGATCACTAGCCATCAGGGAAATGCAAATCAAAACCACAATGAGGTTTCAACTCAGCCCAGTAAGAATGGCTCACATACAGAAATCTACCAACAACAGATGCTGGCGAGGATGTGAAGAAAAAGGGACACTAACCCACTGTTGGTGGGAATGCAAACTGGTCAAGCCACTTTGGAAGTCAGTCTGGAGATTCCTCAGAAACCTGAATATAACCCTACCATACAATCTAGCCATACCACTCCTTGGAATTTACCCAAAAGAAATGAAATTGGCAAACAAAAAAAGCTGTCTGCACCTTAATGTTTATTGCAGCTCAATTCACAATAGCTAAGACCTGGAATCAACCCAAATGCCCATCAACAGCAGAATAGATAAAGAAAGTATGGGACATGTACTCTATAGAATACTATACAGCAGTAAAAAACAATGACATCTGGTCATTTGCAACAAAATGGAGGAATTTGGAAAACATCATGTTGAGTGAAATAAGCCAGTCCCAGAGGGACAAATATATGTTCTCCCTGATTGGTGACAACTAACTGAGTGCCAAAAAGGAAACCTGTTGAAGTGAAATGGACACTATGAGAACGTGACTTGATCGGCCCTTGTCCTGACTGTTGATGTACAATGTAATACTTTATCCCTTTTAGTATTTTTTTTTGTTCTACTTAATACTATTGGTTAAACTCTATAATTAACACACAATTATTCTTAAGTGTTTAAATTTAACTGAAAATTGATCCCTGTTAAAAAATAAGAGTGGAAATAAGAGATGGAGGAGATGTACAATTTGGGAAATGCTCAAGCTGACTTGCCCCAAATGGTAGGGTTAGAAATGTGCCAGTTGATTCCAATTCAATCCCACCAAGGTGGCATGTACCAATGCCATCTCACTAGTCCCAGTGATCAGTTTCAGTTCACAATTGATCATACTGATAGGTCTAAGAGTCAAAGGGATCACATAAACAAGACTAGTGTCTGCTAATATAAACTGATAGAATAAAAAAGGAAGAGAATGATCCAACATGGGAAGTGGGATACACAGCAGACTCATAGAATGGCAGATGTCCTAAACAGCACTCTGGCCTCAGAATCAGCCCTTAAGGCATTTGGATCTGGCTGAAGAGCCCATGAGAGTGTTTTAGGCATGGAAAGCCAAGATACTCTGGCAAAAAACCACAAACAAACAGAACAAAAAAACCCAAAAACCTAAATGAAAGATGTCTGTGAGTGAGATCCCAGTAGAAAGAACGGGCCATCAAAGAAGGAGGTACCTTTCTCTGAAGGGAGGAGTGAACCTCCACTTTGACTATGACCTTGTCTAAATAAGATTGAAGTCGGCAAACTCAAGAGGCTTCCATAGCCTTGGCAACTCATGACAAGAGCCTAGGGTGATTAATGACGCCATAAACAAGAGTTTCAAATTGTTAAGTCAACAGCAGGATTCACAGTGCACTTAATCGTCATGTAGGATCTCTGTCTTTAATGTGTTGTTCAACGTGAATTAATGCTATAACTAGTGCTCAAACAGTATTTTACACTTTATGTTCTATGTGGGTGCAAACTGTTGAAATCTTTACTTAATATATACTAAACTGATCTTCTGAATATAAAGATAATTGAAAATGAATCTGATATGAATGGAATGGGAGAGGGAGCGGGAGTTGGCAGGGTCGTGGGTGGGAAGGAAGTTATGGGGGGAAAAGCCATTGTAATCCATAAGCTGTACTTTGGAAATTTATACTTGCTAAATAAAAGTTAAAAAAATATTAAAATTAAAAAAAAAGAAATGGCAAACGATCGAATAGATAGCTCTTTTTTAAAAAAGAAATACAAATGGCTGATTCTTGGATCCAAGATGTCTGAATGTTAAGAAGTCACACTGCTCTCATCCATAGAAAGATAAGAGAAACAAGGGAAGGA